CTATTGTTGAAGGCCACATCCGCCATATTGGAGTTTAAAATTTTAACAATGAGGTTATTCAGTAATTTTTAATTTTTGCATTTTTTTGGAGGATTGAGTACGCACAGTTCGCTGGAATTTTCCCCGATTTTTTGAAACATTATTAACCCACGGAAAACAAGTTCGAAGTTGCGTATTCTGAGCTCCCATTTAAACTCGCGTCTCCGAGGAAGTCAAGATGGGGCCTGACGAACCCCTAGGTGACGGTCACGCTTTTGATCACGTAATCCTTCCAGCGCGCTCTTAATACTCATGAATTTCTAAATACTGTTCCGATTCCAATAAAGTACCTAACAGTGATTTTAATGAAAATTAAGTGATTCCGATGGGTTCGTTAATTTGTTCGCTCGTTAAAAGCCCCTTGTCCATGTCAGTGCACACTGACATCGATCGAGCCAGAGGGAACGCACGGTCGATATGTGACCGTCACTCAGGGGACGACATCTGGGATTTTTTGGCGATGCGCGTTTAAATAGGAGATAACATTTTAGGCCACATCCGCCATCTTGAATTTATGAAATTTTAAAATTTGACCCGAAATTCGAGTTTCCCGTCCGCCCCCTGATACCAAGTTTCACCAAGATCGGCTGGACAGGAGCCGAGATAGCATTTTAGGCCATGTCCGCCATCTTGGATTTCTGAATTTTCAAAATTTGACCCGAAATTCGAGTTTCCCGTCCGAAAATACCCCCTGATACCAAGTTTCACCAAGATCGGATGGATAGGGGCCGAGATAGCATTTTAGGCCATGTCCGCCATCTTGGATTTCTGAATTTTCAAAATTTGACCCAAAATTCGAGTTTCCCGTCCGAACATACCCCCCGGTACCAAATTTCACCAAGTTTCCACCAAGCTTCGCCGCGCGCGCGTCAATCAAGTGGAGATAGCGCCTTTTGATTTAATTCGGAATCCGGGTTAGCGCATTAAATCAAAGGGAATTACATATAGTTCCTTTTGATTTTATTCGTAATAGCTGATTCCCTGTTTTGCGATTTTTCAGGGGCTGATTCCAGGGGATGAAATTAGTATTTAGGGGGCATATTTACGTGTGAGAGCAGCCTATTACATGGAGAATCCAGATCCGTTAAAAACTGAAATTTGAAAATTTGGCGCTTAGTTCCCTTTCGTATAAATACGTCCACTTGGAGCATTGCGAGTTCACGCCTAGCGCCATCGCGCCTTCAATTTTGCAGATGCAACACAGACATCCAGCAAGCACGAATAGTTGTATCTCTGCGCCGTCTTTCCATTTGCTCTATTTCCATATTATGTTAGTTTCGTTTGTCTTATTTGGAGTGATGCCTCAAGAGGTACATGAGCAACAAAGCCGAAAATAGGATGTGCCCTAATCAATTATCATTTTGACAATAAACAAATGTTAGAGGTGTTCCAAGCGATTCAAAGGGCGCACGTCTATGACTGTACAACCTTTCTTGAGAGAGTGACACATGGCGGATGAGGATGGAGGGCGTAAAGCGTCTCTTTGTTACCAAAAAGGTGAAAATTTCGAAGGTAATAATTTTTTACCAATCTTAGAAATTTTATGTATAGGTATTTTGACACTTGACAAAAGTTCGAGAGCTATTTTGATTTCCTCACTTAATGACGTTCATCATCCTCTTTTCGAAAACTATAATTGACAAAAAGTTTCAATGACTCAAAGCTAATTTTACGATGGAGAGTGACCAATTTTTCACGTAATAGCGAAAGCTGAAAGCGATAAGCGTAATAGAGTAAGTTTGCACTCTATTCAATCGAATTCCTGCTAGTGAGTGAAATAATTGTCATTCATTACAGCTTGAGTAAACCAGTATGTCCCAATTTTTCACATTCTCCTCTTCAAAATATTGAGGTACGGACGGATATAAAATCTGAATTCAGCAAAAAGAGAAAGAAAAAAACTAAAATATCAATTTTCCAGCATTTTTGTAGTCCCAGGCGCCTCTGGGGACTTATATTTCTGGTTTCTGGTTCCAAGACCTCCATTCAACGAGGACCTTACTTTACTCTTAATTTCTATTCTCCCGTTCATTTATGAATTTTCCGCATTTTTCTGGGTCATAATTTTTTCTTTCGTCTTATTTTGCTATATCTGGCAGACGGGCACGTCTTTGATGCGTCAGAGGGGCGTGTCTGCCAATGACCAGTCCGACTCTGACTCTCCTCTGTCACTGCCCAACTTCAACCGACAAGAACTGATTTGCACGGATTTTTTTAAAATAAATCAAAGGAAACAAATTGCCAACCCTTCGGGGAAATTCGCTCTTATCGGGTGAATTTCGGCAACGTATGCATGTTGATGTGGTGTTTTTGTCGAGCTCAAGAGCGGCAGAGGCAGGCGGCAGGACAGAAATGAGGATCCTAACCCTCAAATCATATAAACGACCCGGGCTTATTGGTTACCGTAAATCAGGGGGATTAGTGAACGCAACGCTTCCCCGCGACAGACGCACTCGAAAGCGAGGGTCTTTTTCCCGAGTCGCCGATAGATGTCGCGGCGGAGCCACGGTTCATAATTTTAATTGAAGCAACGAAAGCGAGCCATTAATTCCGGCGGAGGAATATCGCGCGGCGCGGCGCGAACGCGGAACGCTCCGACCGGCGGACCGAATTCATAGAACGGGAAATTGATGATTGTATTTCGGAGAGCCTCAGACAACAAAGCCCCGAAAGACCTGGCGGAGGCATTAATCTTTCGTAATAATATCGCACTGCATTTCCTCCCGGGCACAATGCAGTCAACTGGGTCTTAGGAGAAGTGTTCCGCCTCGCGCAGGGTTTTCCCGGGATTTTTTCTCCGTCTCTGAAGGGACTGTTGCAATGTGTTGCGGGAAATTGATACTACACCCCTTGACGCACGGTTGAACCGCTGATGCTGAGGACCAGTCACAGCACCCTGAAAGGGTCATCCTGCTATGGCCCGTCTCGAGACATAAACAAGAGAAGTGGGGAGGGGGAGAAGAGAGGGAGGAAAATATATGAAAATGAAGAAAAAGGGAGGGTAAAGGGGAGAATGGTGGAAAAAAGGAGGGAAAGAGAAGAGATTGAGAGGGTGCGGAAGAAAGGTGGAAAATTGTAGGAAAAAGGAAGGATAAAGAGAAAATTGGAGGAAAATGAGACGGGGGAAGGGAAAGATGAAACTTCAGGAAGAAAATTGATTACAAACAGAGAGTAAAAAGCAGAAAGAGAGACGTAGGAAGAAAAAATAACTGAGTTGGCAGCAGCATTAGGGTGGTTCTTATTTTTTGACTTTCCAAAAATCAAATTTCTAACCTTCCAAAAAATTATCTTTTGATGTGAAATGAACGTAAAAAAAATTTCATCCGGTTCGGATCATCCTGGGCGGACACCGCAACGCGCTGTGGTCAACAAGTCTCCAAGACAGGGAACTTCAAATCTCGGACAGTTAAGTTTTTCCGTCATTTCACGGATCCCCCCTGAAAATGTTGCTCCGGCTTTGAAATTTCTGGAGGCAACACACTTTTTAGGGTATTTTGCGAGAAAAATAACCTTCTGTAATAGTGTTGAAACGTCGCAGTAAACTCACGCAGTCTTCCAAAGAATCGATTTATTTTTGGAGTGTACCACAAATGCTGGTTCAATTTGTGAAGAAGTTGTCCCCTCTCTCGTCCATATTCTTTGTCTCTAGGAAAACTTCGCAACAGTTTCTTTTCATTTTTGCCACTTGTTTCACCACTCCATCGCCATTCGATCTGTTTCTTTTCATCTTTTCCTTTCTCACTCATCTTAGCTCTGTTATTGCACATAATCTCAACAGCTGCACTCCTCGCTCAAAATTCCGACTCCGCATTGCAATACAATAAATTTGACGTGTTATACCTAATGTCAATAGTTAGTGTCTCCCAGTTAGTCGAAGCAGTTACTGCTCCGTGTTCCGCAATTTCTCGCTCCTGCATCGAATGCGCTGTACCCCGCTCATCGATGTTGTGATGTGTTTTTTTCACGTTACCTTTCTTCTCTCCTTCGCTGATTGAAACTTCTATGTCGAGCACGGGTTTTCGTCCATTTTAGTGCACTTTGGAAAATAACGGGTTTTTGCACAACGGAGGAGTTGAGAACATCTTTTTTCTCATCTTTTCTTCATCTTTTCTCATTTTTCTTTTTCCTTTTGTTTGATCTTTGGTGGACATTATTATGTCTCGGTGTAATTTTTATACTGGAAATGTCAGTAACTGTCTTAAGGTGAATTTTTAGCTGTAGCTCCGAAAAAATTCACAACGTCACGGTACTAAAATCTGACTCCAAATTCAGTGACTATTTGAATATCGCAACAGGTTTATTAAATTCTAAGACTCATGAGCTCTGAGATGACTCATGACTCACATGAGATCATGTGTCTGAAAATTTGAAAAACACAAGCTTTGAAAGCGTAGGTAATAAAAAAGGCTAAAGCTTGATCCCACTTTCTCGTATGGGATGTCAATACGTGCGAGAAAGGCAGTTTACGGTGGGAGAGAGGTACCTGAAACTGCTGAGAGATATCACTTATAATTGGTCGCATCAAAGTCATTTTGCTTAACCCTACGTTTTTCTGAGATCAAGTTACGTAATTTCAGAAGTTACTCCCATGTTTTTCTGAGGGCTAATAGGAGGAAAAATGTTATGCATACTTATGACTCTTAGATTTTAACAGCTATTCCTTTCATTTTCAGAGTAGCACAAGGGCTCAAATGGAGCTGTATGGACTCTAATGGCGCAAACCAAAAAACCAAAACAGCGGTTTTGCCCCTTGCGAGGAAAAAATTCTAACTACACACTGCTGAAGATTTCACCTTGATACGGAGCCGATTATTTCACGTACATTATATGATGGGGCCTGAGTACTTAAGAGACATATCAGACGGTCAGTCGGTCAATTGCAAATTCTTGGATTCACAGACATTTTCCTCAAAAGTTTCAGAGTCATGTAATCCAGTCGCCTTTATAAGTATTTCATTCACAAAATTTAATCAGGAATATCTTTAAAACCATCGTGCATGACATTATGACAGAACAACTCATTTGGTATGGTCATGTCCAGAGAATGGCAGGAGACAGGTTGCCGAAGAAGGTCCTTGACTGGGTTCCTCCTGGGAGAAGACGCAGAGGGCGCCCAATGAAAGGTTGGAGGGAAGGGATTGAAGCGGAAATGTTAAGGTGCTCAATCCCCCAAGATGTGTGGTTTGAAAAAGAGCAGTGGAGGTTAGGAGTCGTAGAGCGCGAGGAAGTGCTGTAAGCGACTTGTATGTATGTATATCATTAAAAGAACATCAAACGTATGCGCTACGTCTACGTTGCAAATTTATTGTCATTTGATTTGCGACGATCATTCAAGATGTGTGCAAAATATTTTTACGAGTCTCACGATTAATTTACATAAATTATGTTTACAATTCATGTTTTCCTCAGACATCAATTCTATTGCGAGGCGCGCCTGATACCCTCGGATCGAGCAATTTCGAATGTTAATCAGCGAATGTGTTCCCTTAACTTTTTTCGAAGTTTCTCGATGATATAGATCAATTTGTCTTGTCTTATACATAAGGAAAGACTGGGAAACCCCGAGGAGTGACTCGTGTATTTAATTAAAGTCGAAGCTAGCCGCGGAATCTGGAAGGAAGCGTCGGGGTTCCTTTAGTCCTCATTCCCTGCCTTTTTCCGGGTTTTTGTCTCATCCTTTTCTCCGCGCCATCACTTTCCTCGCTCTCTTTTTTCCAGCCAAGTTTCAATTGAGTCGGGAATCAAGGGATTCCCAAGGCTCGGAGGAAGTGCGTTCACTGATGAGGGGTTATTCTGCGATTGGTTTGACCAGCTCTGCCGTGCTAAAGAAAAGCGCCGTATGAGCCTTTAGGCGTTGCCAAATTCCCTTTGAAGAATCACGGATTTTCGAGAATATTTGTAAACATTTTTCTTTCAATTTTTCGGGGAATTTCGTTCGTAATTTGATCGGAAGAGTATGAAAGTCTCAAGGAAAAATATTGATAACTTTCCTCAAAAATAAACATTTTATCGGAGGAAGGTTTCTAATGGAAGGATTGCCCGGGGAGGGGGGGGGGATAAAAAATCGGAAAAAGTGCCCGACTTTATACTTCAACGGCCCTTTATACTGTTCTCTTCGATACCAGAGCAGTATACTTATTCTATCTCATCTATGATTGTAGCATCAAGAGAGAGGATGGGGTATCAGAATATATCAAAGTCGGCAATTTTCTGGAGGTCAGGATCCGACTGGGAGTTAATGGGTCTAATCAAGAGTCCATTTTCAATTAATGCGACGACTAACAGGCCATAATTGGGCCGGCAGTGACCAGTCACTCAGCGTGGCGACCCGTGGAGCGGTCATGCACTAGGTGCTGTTCGGGAAACTCGGTAGGAAAACGGCGATCGAGGAAGGTGTTGATTAACAAACCGCCGCGCGCCGCCGCATGTGTGCAAGTCATCGGTGTGGATCCTAGGATGCCGAGTTCAGTCCGAGTCAGGTTTTGATCATTAACTCGTAATTTTAACTAATTATCAGCTTCACACTGGAAAAAAACACATTGGATCTAGAGTCCAGACTCATGAAAACATTGACAAGAAAAAGGACTCTTGATTCAATCAGATTTAAGCTGAAATCAAGAGAAATTCCGCTCAAATTGAGAGGCTTGGTTCTTGATTTACGCTAGATTCTGATTGAATCAAGAGTACTTTTTCTTGTCGATGTTTTTAAGAGTCTGGACTCTAGATCCAATGTGAATTTTTTTTCCAGTACAGACCTGCCGTGATAAAAAAAGGCATCGTTCGGCCCGCATTCTAAATGGAGGAACTTTGGGGAACTCGTGAAAGTGCTAAAAAGCGCACATGACCTTTATTTGGGACCTCATCGGCATGCACCGGACAAGGGAGCTGATCAAAACCACGCCTCATATTCCCGCGGAAAAGTCTATTCGTTCTGCACCCGGAAATCTGATTCAGTGATGTGAGCTCCCGTGTCTGGATCCGCCGTGTAGAGACTGTCTGAACACTCTCACTTTCATATCCTCGCAAGTCCCCACAGTTACACCTGCAATGCGGCATACCACACACTCATTGGTGTGAAAGTATTAGGCTAGCAGTAGCGGTAAGGCGGTCTTCTAGATCACCGGTGCGCGGTTAGTCGGCCACTCGACTCTTTGCTAGTATGCCCCGCCCCGAAACCCGGCTCACATATGACGATTGGCAGGAGTATGATATCAGGACCAATAGGAACTGCTTTGCATTGGACAAAAAATGACGATTGGCAGGAGTATGATATCAGGGCCAATAGGAACTGCTTTGCATTTGACAAAAAATGACGATTGCTTTAGATGGAGGGAGTTCTTATCAATATTTCCAACGAATGATTGCTTTAGATGGAGGGAGTTCTTGTCAATATTTCCGACAAATGCCTCACTGCTATAAATATTTGTTGCCGTCAGTGTTGGAAGGAGGTTTCTCAGTTAGTTTTTGAGGGGGTAAATCTTCAGCACCTGGAAGAAAAATTTCATTGTCAATTGATCAATTGAGAATGGATCGGTAGACCAGGAACAAAATTAAGCATTTTGATGCATGTTTTGAACCAGAATTTCACTTAGAACGCAATTCACGCAACATACATTACTGAAATCAACTCCTTACAAAGATATTAACGTTCATATTTTCCATTGGTTACGAGCATCTTGAATTCCCGGCTCATAAGAAGAACAATGGTCCATGGCCGGATTCATTTACTTGCCGCCCATGGGCCGCCTGTATTTTGCCGCCCTCTTCTCATTCGTTTTGAAACTCGATGAAAACCATCAAATGAACGTGTCGGCGGGGGAGGGGTGCATAAGACGCATTTACTCGTGTTAAACACATTTTTTGAGAAAGCCCTGTCAACACTAGCAAAAGTTCATGGAACTTTGCGCGAAAGTTAAGTTCCGTAAACCTATCTCTGTGTGGAAAAGGCCTTCCATTCATAAGAAATGAACAAAATAATTATGAGAGAACGAACATAATTGTGGATCAATGATTTTAACTGCCGTGACGGATGATTAAGCATTTTATACGTTCTCGCATACTTTTTTTTTTTTTTTTTTTTTTTTTTTTTTTTTTTTTTTAAATCAACAACACTTTCATTTTTAGGGGAAATTGAACTGTGCTGCACGCAAACCCCATGGACGCAGAATTCCTCTGGCATGAATATTTCCATTTGATTAACAAGACTTCCTTGTATTTTACAGGCTTCCATTTCCAGGAGTTTTCATTGCTTCAGCAACAAGAATCCTCATAATGGGAACAAGACTCAAGTTCTCCTCACAATAAAGCCTTGGGTGTACAACAAGGATCATTGAGGATATAAGACAAGAATCCTTGCATTGGTGATGACGAAGTATTTTTCCGAATAAAAAAGAAGTATTTGAGCTGCGGCTGGGCAGCGGTGGAGGTTTCGAAGGGGCCCGGACCCCGGCCAGGCACGGCTGATGGATCATCTGCCGCCAGGTCGGGGGGTTAATAGCGCTAATTCAGGTATTAATAACCGACGATGGTCGGCGCGGCGCGGCGCGGCGCGAGCATCGAGGAACGACCGAAACGAGGAGGGCGCAGGCGCACATCAATCATGCCGGCGACCGACATTATCAAACCAATATCTAGGCACAAACATCGGTGTCTTGCGTCGAATTCCCTGATTAGCCCGATGAGGCCGCCCGAAGACCATCAGTCATCTGTCCTGTCGAAAACGCTCTTAGACGCCCGCTCGTCTTCGAGATCCCTAGCCGAGGAGGGGGGCTTTAAACCGCCGACCTGCATGGAACTATTCTTGAATAGGAGGATCGTGTGCCGTTTTGCGCATCGATCGGAGAACGGTGGAATCAATCAAATATCTCTGATCGACCTCCAAAAATGATGGCAGGAGGAGATAGGGTAAAAGGAAGAGGAGCTAATGGTATCCAGAATCAAACTAGAAAAGTATTTATAAATTAATACTGTGATAATGGGTCAGTTGCGCTGGTCACAGACTTGTGTTTTGATGCTTGATTCTAGTAGATTAGCCAAAAATATTAAGATCTGTCCAAGCCGAAACTTTCTAGTTCAATATTAACCGAGATATCGCCCTCTGAAAAGTCGGGGTTTTGACGTCATCCACCGCGATGATGACACCCTTGGTTTCTTCCACCTTGGATTCTTCTACCTTGGTTTTATCAGTCAGGAAGACACACATTGGCACTGGCTACAAAGGCTACTCTAAGTAGAACGCGGATGAAACCTATTAAGGGTGTCACTACCGCGGTGGATGTCGTCAAAAACCCGACTTTTTAAAGGGCTTTATCTCGGTTTACATTGACTGTAGAAAGTTGCAGTTGGACAGACCTTATTATTTTTAGCTGATCTACAAGAATCAAGCATCAAAACATAATTTTTTGACCAGCGCAATTGACCCATTAAACACTGGAAAAAAGTCGCTTGTATCCAGAGTCCAGACTCTTAAAAACATTGATAAAGAAAAAATACTCTTGATTGAATTCGGCTTTTCCTTGAATTGAAGAGCCA